GGGGGGGGGGAACCTGCCTCATTGGGGGTTTAGCAATGCACCGTTTTATAGCCCGGCGGCTGTCGAGGGACTCCCGTGTTTGGGCCCGGCGGCCGAAGTATCTGTTGATTCAAAAGGTGTGTCAATGACTTCCAATGGAAATCCGGTGAGAGGTGGCACGTTGGGTTGGTTGCTTTCCGATGTAAAAAACCGCGCCCCTGTGACGGGGATCACACTCAGCACCCGAGTGGGACGGCTGAGCGAAACACACTCTGACACTTGTATTCAGTGAACTCAGTTCCCAGGTCGAAAATGGTGAGAGAACGGCATGGCGAGAAAGTCAGTTCACTTGAAGATTGAACAAATTGTTTGTGCGTGACTGCAGTGGCAAACTCTCGCGCGTTCGGCTGAAAGCAGCTGTGGGAAACCTGTTTGTGGGGAAGGTATCGTGGAAGAACCATGAATCAAACCGTGGAAAAGTAGGGTGACAGCTTGTGGAAAAAATCGCAGGTACATGAGAGTGATCAGCTCTCACTTCCCTCGACACATCATAGCTTCGTTGCGTCAGGTAGATGTGTCGAGCCTGACGCCCCTGCCTGTAGAAGGTGGTTGAAAAAGGTGGTGGAAAAACCGTGGAAGGAGTAGCGGTGGAAAACCCTTTGTCCAGGGGTGGACACACACACACACACCCTATGGAGCCTACAAAAATCGTCTCCAATCACCGTACCTGACAAGGTACGACTGGATCCGGACAAGAAGAGGAGCTACAAAACGCATCAAAACCGTGGCCAGGCATGGAAAACCCCAACAAAGCAAGCTATAGTTGGAATGCGTGTGCCGCGACAAAGGAAGGTCCCTGCGACGATAGATTTGGGCGCTGGAGGTTGTATACGAGGTCGAGGAAATTAGATTATTGGACATTTGACGCGTGTTTTGTTTTCATGAACTTCCAGTTCTGACGCTTTAGCAGCAGGACCATACGTCCCCGCTTGGCGCATCTTCGCATCCAACCATCCAGACCATGTCAACATTGTGAGGCCCAGGCTGCAGGTGGGTAAAACAAAAGAATGGTTTTCGCCCTTCCTTCCGTGCACTTCGCCACAACTCCGGGCACCTGCGCCGCCACAACTCCGGGCGACTCGCTGAGGCGGTGGAAGTGACGAAGCTCCAAGAGTTGACCAACCACTTTGCCACTTGGAGCCATGAACCCCTGGTGGGAGCGAGAACCTCGTCGTCCTGACCCAAGACTCATGGCTGGGGGTCATGGCATGTCAATGCACCGGGGGACCCTGGTTTTTCCAACCAAGAATCAACAGAATTATACTAGGAACTTGATCGACCCCTGTTTTGGATCCAAATGCATGATCTTTTCCGATCAAAACAGAGGTCATGTTTGGGTTCTAAGGGAGTTACTAGATCCGGCCAACCTACCAACCGGGCGAAACGCCGTTCGAACGTCGATCCATCGTTCCCGATCGCTTGGGCTCGGGGAGAGGGCGGGGCAGGTGTTCTTGGAGTGCGACGAAGTGGTGCTTCGTTTCTAAGGGGAAGAAACAGCGGTTGGACCATTCGAATCAGCTTTGACGAGAGGGCTTGGTGTTTCTTCCAGCTGTTCGGACCCCAAGGGCCGCAGCTTCTCCATGCCCTTCTTCCCGTCGCATGCCGCGAACGGTGACCCGCCGTGCCAGGAGACGTGCCGGGAGAATCCCGAGAAGGCCAAACCCAAGGCCGTGAAGGCCGCCGAGTCTTTGGGGACGGATTGGTTGGGGAATAGGAGGGAGTGTTTAAACAGATGGTGCAAAACAAGGGGCATGTGCTGTGGAAATGGCCATGCCAATATAGTCAATATATAGACTTCTAGATTCTTCTAAAGTTCATTGCGTGGCGGTTTAATATGTTTGAAGGTTGGTTGATTCTTTCGGGTTGGTGCTGGATTCTGTGCTGTTTAAGGGTTTCGCTGCTTCTCTTTTTTGAGATTCGTCATAGAAACCTGATTGGGTCAGCTCGCCTAGCACGGAATAATTTCCGCGGATGGCCATGGGCAGCGGCATAGAAATTCAACTACTACGAAGCCTACTAGGTGGCTGCAGGGTCAACGCTTACCTTCTCAGAAACCAGAGGGCAACCATGGGCAACCTCAAGATCTGAGTCTTCCACACCTTCCGTCGCACGAAAAGAGCCAGGAACCTTCCCCCCTGCCGAAGTGGGCGTTCCGCGGTTCCGCTTGCTTCGGCGGAGTCGCGTCCGAGTCGGGTGCGAGTCCCACAGGCGCTGAAGGTGGCGCTGAAGGAGCTGGGCGCTGAAGAGCAAACTTTGAAGTCCTTGCCAGAGATCTTGGCGAAGAAGAAGGGCAAACGCACCACCAAAGAGAGGCCCAGTGAGTGAAAACTGTCGGGCGGTTTTCTTTCTGCGTCTGGTGAGTTGGTCGTACAAAAAGAAAGCGCGCGGTCTTTAAGTTCTTTTTGGCGGTGCCTGGGTGAGTGAAATGCAAAGAGGGTGGCATCTGCTGCTCACTAGCTGCTCACCTTACTGCTTGTCCATGCTGTACGGTGCAGCTGCCAGACGTCCGCACTCCGCTCGGAGGAAGCTCCTGGGCGGCCTCGAGGAGATCTTGAAGGCACAGCTCAACGCACGCAGGGCCGCCCAAGGGGTCCGACGTCACCACGTGACACGGCGTGACCAGTCGACCCAGGGTCGAGGATGATGCAGACCGCAGAGCGGCATAGGTGAAGCACAAGCTGTTCAACAGACATGCAAGAGGTTTTTGTTGTGGAGATGCTTACTTTCAAACTTTATACTACCAGTTACAGTATTTTTACTTCAATGATGGAACCTACTGACTGTCTGACTGCTTTCGTATGTCTTTTTGTTTTTCCCGTTCGTGAGTTGAACCCACCAACCAGATCATGAGATACGAACCGCTGATCCGTTGACTGCCTGGCGAAGTCCTGCCCGCAACAGGGGCAACTTGTAGTGACCAGTTGAGGATGGTAGAATCCTAGACCATCCATGGGACTGGAAATAGTAATCTTTATACATTGGACTATTGGACCATCAATGGGGTATAAGTCGATCTAGAGAACATTATAATGTTAATAGCTATTCCAGTCCCATGGATAGTCAGGGAATGAAGAGCCTCCCGACCCTCGAAGTACAAAGCTGCAAAACCTTTTCGGTGGATTTGGGGTTCCCCCGCTCCTGCTCCAACGGGTGGAAAAAGGTTATCCGCTTAGCATGGTGAGCCTTTACCTAGAACCTGATCAATGACTTCTATTTTGGACCACCAACCACTCAAAATAAGGTCTTTTCCTATCAAAACACAGGTCATGTCTGGGTTCTAGGTAACTTGATGTTCCAGAGAAACTGAGGGAGCCAGACTCCAAAGCCTTTAACGTGGTTAATTTGACCCTTCGTTCGTGCAACGTGGATGAACGCGACCCCCACCTCACCATGACCCCCACGGTTCGGGAACCGAGTGTTCACCATAGGCCATCGGCACCATGATGTATACACTGACCCCCAGACACGACCTGTTTGGGACTGCCATAGGACTGCCGATCAGTTGGGGTGGTTGACTGGGGGTCAATATATATGGCAGTCCCATGGGTCGTGTCTGGGTGAGGTTGAACCAGAGGTGTGCACAGCAAATAGCCACAAGGCCGTTTTTCTCAGTGCAGATTGGGACTTCTCCTCCACATCCGATTTCAGGGTAGATGCCACAGACCCCAAGATGTCCTTTAGATGGGAGTACCAGTACCAAAAACTGGGGGATTGCGCCGCCTGGTCCAAAACCCACTGTAAACCAATCCGGTCACCACGGTCCTCATGGGGGTCGTGATTCTGGAGAAGGTCATGCCTCTGGGCCTAGTCAGTCAGGGCGTGTTTGGGCCTAGCACCACCTGAACTCCCTTGGTGCTGGACCGATGTCCACGAGTCGTGGGGCTTCTTCGCCCCCTTCGCTTGAACCGCTCTTGGCTTGTTTGGGGGTGAACTCGTTCGAGGGGAGATGGGAGCTCATCGAAGTCACGCAGAAGGGGGGTTTGGCTGGATTCTTTGGCTCGTGCCGCGCCCGAGGACGAGGCCTTCACAACAAGTGTACGAAAGAAGTGGACGTCCGTCAGGACGGGATTGATGTCTGAGGATCGCTGTTCGGCTGGAGGCCATCGGGCATGTGGCGCTGTGGTGATGCACATGGCACGAGGCAGTTCGGGGTACTGATCTGTCAATCGGGCGATGCGTCGGATTCCCCCTGACCCTGTCAGTCCGAGCGAAACCGGGTCGACCTGGGTCAAACGGTTTCGGGTGGAGTGGTGGTGCCCGACCCGTTTTCCAGGCTGATCATAGTTTGCTCCACAGGCCGCTTTGGCCTCCCACAACCTTTGACTTGGAGGTTTGGTTGTTTTCTCCAAGAGGTTCCACAAGCGGTCATATAATATCATAATACCAGCAGTCACAATACAGGGTGCGATCCATGGAGGTTAGGGGTGCCCAGTATCCACTCACTGGATGGGACTGAACACCACCCCGTACTTGTGACTCTCCTTTGTAATAATGTTTCTTGGCCTCCGGAGATTCCCACCTGGAACCCCAGTCCCAACCAAAAACAAGTCTGGTTGGAACTCAATATATATATATATATTATATGGCTTGCTTGAAAATCCTTGACATCGGAAATGGTTGGGACTGGCGGTTCCAGGCCTTGACCCTTTTTGCCACCATCGTTCCGCATCCTTCGAAACCCGCTTCTCGCAGCGGAAACACGCGCGGAGGACCAGCTCCGCGGCGCCGAAGTGGAAGCGAGGTCTCGCAGCGAGGTCCGAAGCGTCAGAGTCCAAGAGAGGTCTCCAGGTGACCGGTTTCGGACCCGGAACACACTGGGGTGCCGGTTGGAGAGTCGAAGAGTCGGGTTCTGAAAAACCTACCTCTGTTGGTAGAAGTCCATTCCCTACCAGGGTCCCCCCGGGTTTGGGGTGTCTCAAACATCGCTTCATAGAGATGAACGGGGGCGTCCGTGAAGGTTCATCGGGGCATCCACATACCCTCTGAGACAGCCATTGGAGACGATGTAGGCGCCAGAACCGGTCTACCCGGCGAGGAAGGGGGTCTCCTGGGCTCCCGTTGTTCAGGGAAGCCATAGGGAATTCAAGCTTTGCTTGGTTCCGTCCGATGGCGTTGTTGGCTTTTTTGGGTCACCTGATTGATGCGAAACTCCGTTTCTTCCAGTGGGGTGGTGGCGTGGAGGAGGGCACTGGCACAGAAGGTTGAAAGAATCAAACACGCCCGGCAGGAGTTCCAGAACTGGGTTGCCACCATGTGTCTAGATCAATCCCATGATTCACCATGCTACACTACCCTGGTAAGACACGTCACATTGTCATTGATCGAGTTTGGACAGAGTTTTGGCTTCTTGGATGCCAGCATTCTGGAGCATTCTCCTACCATGTGTGCTACGAGGTCCCTCCCATCAGTTGAATCAATGCACGGCCATCCATGGACCCTCAGTAGCGGAACAAGTTGCATTAACCTGGACCCGACTGACCCAGTAGCCTTTGACTTTGGGACATGACCCCACAACGAGACCTGTGCAAGTACACAGACTCTTTTTGCCATGCCCATGTCCGAGCCACTTTCCATACCCCAGGCCCCTACAGTATTGGGTGCCTTTTCAAGACGTGTTGATGCCTGTGGATCCCAGCTTCTCAGAAGGAACAGACCAGTACGGGACAAAAACCACCTCCGGCAAGCAGCGTGTGGACTCCTCCTTAGGAGTCCAAAGGCGGTGTCAGTACGTATTATCAATGTCAATGGCTTACATATGTATTTGAGATGGTGGGGCTTGTGCCACTCTGAAACCACTGTAACCCTAGGTCTCCAAGACCGTGTTTAGAAGATGGTTGACCTGGTTTTGTAGTGTAAAATCCTTAATGCAACAGCTGGTTCTTTGGTCAAGCCCATTTCTTTAATTCATTGGTTAATTGATTAATTAATTCATGGTGAAACGATGGTTTCATGGTGGCTCATGGTTTCTTTAATTCATGACCTGGTTCTTTGGTCTTTAATTCATGGTGGGAAACCTGAGGGTCTTTAATGTTGTGCTCTCCCTTTTCGCCGCTCTGGCGCCAGGCCATCGAGGCGTCCAAGCTTCGAGTGGAGGAGCAAAAAGCATTGGTCACGACGGCAGAGGACGGGCGTGGGCACCGCACTGGGAGGACGAGCGTGGGCCAGGCCCGGCCGGCCGAGGGGGGCCTCCAGGAGTAAAGACTTTGTTTCGTTGAAGATGGAACTGCGGTGGGTGGGTGCCAGGGTCGGGTCCAGTCATACCTTTTGAGGAGGTACGACTGGAGGTGTAGGGAGGTAGACGGGCGTGATGAAGACCCCATTTGGATACAAACACCTCTGAAATAGGAGGGGTCATGATGGGTGCATGCGGGAGCACGTGGCCGATTGGCGCGTGCTCCCATGAATGGACCTGCTTTGTTGGATCTTTTTGGGGGGGTGGGATTGGCGTCTAGTCGGTGTTACGTACCTCTTACGCACCGTTTCGCACCGTTTTCTAGTTGTCTTTCCCCACTCCGATTGCCAGTCATCCAACGGTCGCAGGGACGGCTCACCCATTGCGGTCACGTTTCGTTTTCGCGTACATCAACTTCAACCCTATAGACTTCCAAGACCAAATATATCTGGTTGACCTGGCTTTTCACGAAAGCTAGCACCAGCTAGCTGGAGTTGTCCTTGCTTTAGCAAGTGAGGGGCTGGAATCCTCGGGATCGCCGCATCACGTGAAAACTTCATATGTAGGGGGGGGCCCCCCCCAGGTCCCCCCCCCGTGGCTTGGGTTCAACTCCCCCCTCGGACGCCTCTGGGACACCTCTCGGGCATCTCTTATGGCATCCACTTTGGCTTAACTCCTCCGGGATACGGTGCAACAGATTCAACAAGCTCACATGTTCATGACATCGACATCGATAGAAGAAACCAAACAAATCATGCAAGCAGCTTTGTTTTGCCTCTGGGACACCTCTTGGGCACCTCTTATGGCATCACTGGTTCAACTCCTCCGTGGAGGTTTTGGGATACGGTGCAACAGATTCAACAAGCTCACAGGTTCGTGAACACATCGGATGCATCGAACAGTGTGGCAAAGTCCAGCCACGCTTCCTTAATTGTCGGGGACTTCAATTCGAAGGTTGGCTGTGTCATTGCTGTTTGTGTGTCTTACATGTTCACAACGTTTTACCTCATGAGCATTTGCCTCACTCCGCTTGATGTCCCACCAGTCCGGATGCACCCCTGCTAGCTTTCGTCACCTACCCTCGGCCTCAAGTGTAGTGTAAAATCCATTGATTCGGTCGGCTTCGGCTGCCGAAGCCAGGGTCAACCTCCCCACGGTCGTGGACGTCCTCACTTGTCCCCCAGGAGCAGGTCCAAGCGGCCTTGAGCGCTCTGAACGAGCACGAGGACCGACCTCGACCCGCTCGCAGCACCGCGAACCGGTCCCAGCCGTGGATTTCGACCCGCCGCGCCCGGGGCCGCGCGGGCGGGTCTGGCACCCCAAATCGGAGCCGACCCGTGTGGGCTCCAGGAGTGACTTCGTTTCGTTTGGGACGGAGGGTGGGTGCCATGTTCGGGTCCGGTCGGTACGGAGACACGGGGGGGAGGCACATCGAAGAAAAGCGCCAAGAACCAATCCGATGAAGAAAAGCAAGGCCACTCACCAACCGGTCACCAACCTGTTTCAAAGTTCAGATGTCCACCACTTGCAGATCTGTTGGTTTTCTGGCACCGTCACAACCGTCACAGGTAAAAACATGTTCAACACCTTCTCGTGGGATCAAGGCCTCCTAACGGCACTCTCCCTCCTTTTGTTCTGTTTGTTGGATACGGGGGTTGTTTGGTGTTTTTTTGTTGTTCCTTTGTCCTGCACCATGTTGTTCCTTGTACTGATGTGTGCTTGCCAAGCTTGATAGATTCCCGCCTTTCTGCACGTGGTTCTGGATATCCGTGAAGGTCACATGCATAGGCCAAAGGCATCCAAAAGAACACCGAAGGCCACTCAGCCAGCGCTGTCCAAACATCACTGTCCTGGATGGTCTGGGAATGTCTGGGACACATCCCTTGCCACTTGCCACAGCCGATTTCCCGCCCGGCCAGGGCAAGATGACCTCAGTGGGGAAGATGTTGAGATTTAACTCTTGGAGCGAAGCTTGTGCCCTGTCGAGTTTATAGGGTCGGTCGCAGCGAGTTCAGAGGTCGGCTCAACTCCAACGAAGAAACACAGGACACGGCCCGCCCAGAGATGCAAGGCAGATGGGCCGGTCCCACATGTAGGGTGTGTATACCATACCATGAGATGTTCAACCTATACCATACTAAGACAGTATAGTCTATTATTGCATGGTTTGAGTAGCCAGAAGATGTTTGGGTCTATATTTGACTCGTGGTTTACTATTGTGATGTGAACATTACATGTCATGTCAATGACTTTCCTGCAGAATAGCAGTTCTATCCTTGGCAGATCAGGCTCCAACGGTCTTTGTTACCCTGCAGCATGCATCCTGCTGCATCCTGCTATAGTTTTCCCTTGTATGTGCTTGGGCGCTTGCAAGCAGCTAATATAACACAAGCTCTGCGCCCGATGTGCGCATAGCTTGCTTCCCAGTTCAGCAGCTCAGCTCTATACCCCCGAGTTCAGGCCACCCAGGGCCATCGGACCAAACCTGGGTGTGGCGCCACCGAGCTGGACGCCCCCCGCCCACCTCGAGAGAGAGTTTTGGTCGGAGGGTCCGGGTAGATGTCGATCCCTTTGGGCAGTGATGGTCAATCAGCAGGAACGAACGGAGGACGTCGGGTGCCGCTTCCGAACGGAGGACGGAGGTGGACGGTGCGAACATCACATCCTTCGAAGCCCGATTCCAACGTCAGAACCGAAACGCCTAATACGCCCCATACATACGGCATGGCTCGGCAGAGGCCCGTGGCCTTCTTTGATGGGTAAATGCACCACCCGGAAGCACCAGCTACCAACAGATCAATCTTTAGAACCCTATATAATTAATTCAACTATCCCGTAATATTCCATATATCGTTACCCCAGGTAATTCGGGTCCTATATATCAGGTCACTGGATACTTTGTTGCTATGATTCAAGTGAAAACACCCACTGCCGTTGGTCACCGCTGAGGCTGCATTTGCTGCGAGGAGATGCCACGCGATGCCGCCGCCACCCTCGGATGCTCGCTCTTCGCACGCGCGTGCGACCGGGCACCAGTGACGGGTGGCAGGAGCGCGGAACGGAGCGTCCAAATTGGTGTGGCGATGGATCAAAACGCTGGAGGTGGAGGTGGAAGTCTCAGACGGCTTTCCAGCTAATTAGCTGCCAGGAGAAGACGCCATCGCACCCAACATCCCATAAACAACGTTGAAGGCGTTTTGGAAGCGCTTCGCATATGCAGAGGGTGAAACCGAAAACGCATGCTACTGTTACACTGTACACCTTATGGTTCCCAGTTGGCGAAAGATCCTTGCCGTAAGGATCTACACAAAAACATCATCAACACGTTTGGAGTGGAATCCTTGAAAGTCATACATCGAACATAATCGAACTGTTTTGGGATAAATTTGTATTTCTCAACTTTCTCAGTTGACCCATGAGTTTGGGCACCAAGGATGTGGCCATGGCTGGTACTGCCCTGCCTGTGTGAACCGTTTCGTCGAGGTCGGGACTGATCTGTCCGCGACGCCTCGCGAAGCCCGTCCTTTTTGAACAAAGTCCTGAAAACCTCGTTGAGGCATCTTTGGGGTACATATCACCTCCCATAACCCACCCATAGGGTCCAGGTACCTCCTGAGGATGGCCTTGGAGGTGAAAGTACTTCCTGAGAATGGTCTTGGGGGGTCAAAGGACATCCTCAGGATAGTCCTGGACCCTTAGGGCCAGACTCAGACACTCTATGTATGGAATATATGTTACATTGACCCCCCTGGCACCACCCCTGGCCGTTTCTCGGCAGTCCTGAACCCTAGAGCTCCTGTCCCATATCCTCAGGTGACCGGTGGAGAGATCGACCCCCCCAAGACCACCCACCCACCCCTGTCCCATCGAACCGAAACGAGTTCGGTGGGCTGTTCGGAGCCCAAACGGGGAAATGAGCTTTTTGACCTGTAAGCCCTAGGGCTCCAACCACCTCCGTTTCGAAGATGGTTGGGGTGGGTGCCAGGGGGGTCTAACCACCGAACCTGAGGATATGGTTGGAGCCCTAGGGAAGGATTGCTTGGTGAATCCATCGATCTTTCTCAGCACCCCAGGACCGTTGGTCGACCGTCCGGGGGTCGGACACCGGTCGACGCAGTGACCGGTTTCATCGGACCCGGAACACTGCCCGTTGGGCAGAGGAAAGGACCCGATTTTCCTGGTCATGTTCTGGGACTGCGTGTGTTGGAAACCCAACTGGACCCATGTGAAGACCGCTGTTGGGCCCCAGTTGGATGTCTCCAATACAAAGCGAAGATACCATTGACCAAACTCCCATTGACCTCAACTTACCATGTGCCATGGTCAATGAGAAGGCTGGCCAGAAAGACACCATAACCATTTACCAAGCTTCTTTTTGGTCCATCTCACCTGTGGGAACTCTTCCCTATAACTCTTGGAGCCCCGCGCGTGACGACCAGCCCGCGCGACGACTGGGCGGACGACAACGAAACCCACCCCCGTGAGGCGCGCTTGGACGAAGGCCTCGCTGGAGTTCCCTGCCCGTCCTGCCACGGCGAGATTTCGGAAGGCGACCTGATACGAGCCTTGGTGGAGAACATACCACGATGAAAGGTGAAGGTGGACTTGAGGACTTGGAGAGGTCCAGTTCTTCCAAAGGTCTACCAGTCTACCAGCAGAGATCCCTATAATAGTTGAGTTTATATCAGGATAATGCTGTTTGGGTGTGCAATGGACTACCCTACCATTGGACACCCATTGGATGGTCCAGGTTTATTTCAGAGGCATACGGAAGGGTAGTGCACAGAAAGGGTTTTGCAAAAACCTATTCTACTAACATCGTGGAAGGCGCGGGACATTCGTAGAACCCAAGGCTATTCGTGGACAGTTCGTGGAATGGTGGGCCAGTAGGAGAACTGACTGCAACGAAATCCCAGAAACCTTCGCAGCACTTCGTGGAAGGTATTTTTGATGCACTAACTTCGCATAAGCGATTTTTGCTGACCCCCTTTTTCCACACACCCTCCATTTAGCCTTCATTATTTCTTCATGTCATGAGTCATGAGGTTCTACAGGGTTCGCGGTTCGTGTTGTTCGAGTTTAGCATCAAGGTGTAGCCATGTGTAGCCCCTTTTAGGAGAGGTAGCCTGATTTCAGGAGGGCTCCACCTCTCCTCTCCATCCTCTCAGGCTGGCCACATCTCACCTCAACCACTGTCCGTCGTCCTTCCAGATAATTAAGTGACCTTATAGAGCCGTAACCTGGGGCACCGGACTGGGATAGTCTAGTTCGGGTTCTGACCCACCTCTGTTGGTGTTCCGCTCCGCGAACGGACCAACCAATCTTGGTTGCCACCGCACGGCGCCAAGCGCACGGCTCACCAGGTCTGTTGCCGAAGCCCACCATTTTCCGACTGCACGCCTCGAACATCCACCGCAAAGCGATGGCCTCCGGCGCCAAGCCCCGGCCCTGCCCCCCGATGAATCGATGGCGGTTTTTTGTTTGGGGAAGGGTGGCACAGTATGGTGGTATTGGACTGTAAGTGACACTGGTTTGGTTGGATGATGTTGCATGTCACGAAAGGTAGCTTCAGCTACCTGAGTTCAATTTAATTAGCTTTAGCTTTGGGTCCTCCCACATGCCATGACTTTTGGGTGGTTATGGTTTGGTTTTTAAGAGATGTTGGGTTTGGTTGGAAGTTGGCTGTTTTTGGCCCATCGTGCACCATTGGCTGGTCTAGCAGCAAAGTCGGTCAAAAGGCCACCGCTGCCTTTGGCCTCCGCAGCGGCAGCCCAGCCCCAAAATTCGCAACCTCTCCGGTGGCGAAGTACTTCATACGTGAACACCACCCATGCTGCCGGCCCAATCGCTTTTAGTGCCAACTTTGCTTTGATGAACTCTCCTGGTCATTCACATGGAAACACCTGGAGTTCACAATGAGTGCACCACCTGGAAACATGGCCCTATAGTAGAAACTCCATGCAAAAACCACATGGAAGACCATGGTCTTGTGGTGGTCCGAGGGCAACCCACCACCTATCAGACCACCTGTTTTGGTTGAGAAACCCATGCGTCTTCCGCCGACTCGGGGTCCTTTGAGTCCGGGTCCGGGGTCCTTTGAGTCTGGTTCCACCTCTGAGGTCCCACAGCTGATTGTGGCATGCAGAAGATCTTCGAAGATGCTCGCCGCTCGGTGTCCATATCGCGTGTTGAGACAGCGGGTGGTTTGAGAGGCCTGAGACGAGAGAGGCCGGGAGTCACGTCGTATGGTGCATGGGCGGTGTTCGGTCAACGAGGCTTCTTCGGAAAAAAACGCAGAGAAGAAACACTGCAACAAGCTGAGTTCAACTCCTGAACCAGGATGAAACGAAACGATGCAGCGATGCAGCATGTTTTGTTTTTTTCCTCTGAGGATCTGCACGTGACACCTGCCCACTTTGCGAGAAGGAGTCCTGCCACTGGCCAATGAACGCGCGTCATATCGCGCGCGGGTGATCGGATGTCGAAGATCCCCCCGCTGCAGGACCCTCCGGAGACCCTGAAAGGCAACCTGTTGGAGGGTACTGCGTTTTGTGTGTTTTAGGGGTTGTCTTTATCAGATCTTTTCAGGGGTTCTGAATCTTGTCTTGGACATGCCTGAAGCTTTGGCATGTGATTCTGGGCATGTGATTCTCACCAATTTATCCAGGCACCTGACTTGTTTAAGATGTTGGGTGGAATGCCAGTTGCATAAAGGTGCACGCTTAAAAGCTCGCATCCAATTTGGTGTTTCTGCCGGTGTTCCCCTCCGGCCGGATGTGTGTCTTTGCCCGGCCGCCCCGGGCCAGTTCTGAAGAGAATTTTGCCATGTTCCAAGCACCTTCTAAGAAGGTGTTTTGGGGTGGGTGCCAGGAAGGTCCAGTCAAACCTTCTGAGGAGGTACGACAGGAGCCCTAGGGGTTGTGGAAGTCACTGCTGTCCTTGCCCCGAGGCAGGGGGGCTCCTTGATCAAACCTGGTTGCCCCTTTTGAGTTCTTCTGACCTGGGGTAGTTCAAGAACTTATGAACATACCAGTACTGTACTGCTTGACCAGAATGCTGCGAGGGACAGATGTCTTGTTCTTCACATCGGACCCCTCCGACCGGAGGTTGGTGGTGTGGCGCGCAGCCCTTCCACGAGAACATGACCTGCGAACAGTGGCGCGACGTTCGGCGCCGTTCGAGTACGAGAGATGGTGAGGATGCTAGACGCTTGGCGCACCAACGCTGGCGCGGGCGGCCAGTGGTGAGGACCCGAAACAGGTCAGTAATCCGTCGTTCGGGGCAGTGGCGTTTTGGGTCACCTGGACAAAACGGAGGTGTTTTTCCCAGACACTCCATGTATGGAATATATGCCTACATTGACCCCCAAAACCACCCCAATGTATGTAAATATGCCTATGGAGCGTCTGGGTTTCTGTGACCTGATATACCCGTCATTTCGAGTACCGTAATGGGAGAGTCACAGACGGGATAGTTTGCCATATTGCCGATTGATTTATATATCTATGAACAGACAAGGCCTGCAACCTAGCCATCATCATCCACTGGGCCCTGATATACCCAACACATCCAAATATAATCAAATACGTAATGTAATCAAACATAAACATATAATGTGAGTTTGAGGCGCGCGATCAGATAGGTGTAGCTCGAGTTTTGGGTGTCATTGCTCCATCACTCATGGAAGAAACCTGCCGCAGTTGAATCACATTCCCTAGGGCTCCAACCATATCCTCAGAAGGTGGTTAGACCCCCCAAACCCACCCCAACCATCTTCTCAGGAGGTGGTTGGAGCCCTAGGGATTATATAACCTCAGAAGTGAGGGTCACACACCTCCCTGGAACCGGGGGTGAGTATCGGCCCAGAGCTTGGCTGGTGCTCGAGGAGGCATGACCAGCACCAGGTGCTTCGGAACGCAACGACTGCACTGCGCACTGCGCTTGAGTTCATTCCTTGCCACGAGGCTTCTTGAAATGGATGAAGGAGACAGGGACCAAGCAATGTCCCACTTGCCACTCGGATGAAGGAGACTACGGTGCGGTGCTTCTGGCAGGTCGGCTGGGTTGGAAAGTACTTAAGATCTAATAGTACCTAATAGGCTAATATATGTATTTAATAGTATTGTTTTGGTTGGTTGTATAAGTTTGCACGCAGTTATTTGGATTCTGGATTTGATTGAAGTGCTGCTCATGCGGCTGGTGCTAAAGAACTTACAGGGGACCCAGTTGCGGCCAAATACACACAAGATGTGGCAGCATGGCCAATGGATGGCTTTTCATGTCGCCTGTGCCATGGGCGTTTGACTCCACGTCCTCCACCTGAGCTAAGTACTACAGTGGCAAACAGCCGTCCGTTGGACCATTAAAACCCTAGGCTTCCTGGCCAACCATTGTTTTAATGGCCTGACTCCCGAACCACCAGCTGTTTTACTAAGGACAAGTACACTACCAAAAACCCAGGTCAACCTTTCACTCTTTGAATGGTCGAACGGAAGCCGGACCGGGTACAAGATCGGCTTCCGGAGTCGCCCCGGGTGGTGTGGCTCGTCCCCGAAAACGTGAGTGGATGTGACAGGAGCAACGTCGACGGCGCTCCTCCATGGATCGCATTCCGTAGAAGGTGACCTGTTGGTTGACTTGGTTTAAGGGTTGTTTCAGGCTTCAGGCTATTACATCAAGATACGGAAGGCGAAGGCCTATAGGGTGTGACAGCTCCTGTCACCCGGTGGAGCGTTGTTTTGAACAAACAGCTACCTAGCACTTCCTGTCCGGGTGCCCTGTCTGGAGACCTTACGTAGGGTAAGGTAGTCTAGCGAGGACACCGACGACAGGATGACCCTGGTATGCGTATCAAGTCGATGGAGCATCGTATCGCGAGCGTCTTCGCGTCTTATCGCGACCAGAACGTGCGGAATGTGCGGCGGTAACACGGCTGCGAGGTGGGATGGCCACTTCCAAGGAGAACCTGGAAATGCAAAGTGACCAGGCACGGTGACCCTGTTTGAGAGGAGGTGAGAGGCACGTTTCTGTGGGTTTCTTTCAGAGGTATCAGGTGGTGGGCAGGCGGGCTGCATTGGTCCTTTGGTCCTGCGGATGGGAGGTAGGGTCAAAACCGAAGGGAAGAGTGGTGCCGTTAGTTTGCTTTCGGAGCATCGCGGGGACAAACAGGTGGAACCAGCCTTATTGTAGGTGGAAGCCAGCGGTCATGACTGTCTAGTGCACCTTCCACAAACCCACCTCCATACACGGGTAGCTATGATCAGGTCACATACGCCATACGCATACATTCGCAGGTGGAAGAGTGTCACAAGATGCTCTGCCGGAGCTGTGGCACCAAGTTCTGCTTCGCTTGCCTGGCGATCCTCACGGACAGCTACACTTGTGACTCGATCGACTCCCAAAACCTCCAACAGGGTACCCCGAGTGGTGAATGCACACCCCGGTGATCACAGCAAGGCTCTGAACTCATGGCCTGGGACTGGTGACCGGTGGGACTGGTTGGCCGGTAGTGGGTCGACGATCTTCCCACCGGTCACGTGAGGAGATGAGACTTGGGGAGCCCATCTCCGGGTGGGACATGTGTGGATGTGGTGAAGTTCGGGGCCCCTGGTTTGTGGTTGGGCCATCGTCTTGGCACCTCGCTCCACACCTGGTCACCCTGGAAGAGCTCGACCTGAAAACAGCTCGGGTGGAATCTGTGAACATGCATGGTGGTCAACTAGACTGTTGGGGTGCCATGACTGACCTGCCATATCCCGACGAATTCAGCTTCGTCGTGGAGAGAATGCGGAGAGACCTCAGAAAGGGCGAGTTGCACCACCCATTTCACCACCATTGTTGCTTCCGTATCGTCCAGTGGGTTCAGGTGGATGCACACAGAATGCCCACAACTTTGTTGACCCTCACACTGGCAAGCTGGTGAAACACCTGAAGAAGCCCAAAGCCAAAGCCAAGAGGTGCGCGCGCGACCACGGGTGGCGCGGCGTTCTACCGTCGCGCGTACGTGTTCGGCATGTTGGACGCGATTTGTCCCCCATCTCTTTGATCATCCCAAGGTGGGGTAACGGTTAGCGAAGAGATGGAGAACAGGTCGTCGAGCAGCCACAATGATTGTGACCATTTCTACCATTGCTGGTGCCATGAGTCCTGGGTTCATGCCAAGCTTGTTGTTTCAAGTGCTGACGGGCGCTTACCCGCCCACCTTATTCTTTCATGACTCATGACGCCAGACGCCTATAGCTTCAATGGATTTCAATGGTGCTTTGGGGACCATGTGTGCCTATACCCAGACACGACCCATGGGACTGCCATAGGACTGCCGCCCCAGAAAGACCCCCAGTCAACCATACCACCCCAGGCCGTTTCTCGGCTGGCAGTCCCATGGGATATATGTTACCCTTTAGCAGACGTGCTTTTCGCTCATCATGAAAAGAACAGCCAGCATCTTCCTACGTTCGTTCGTCATCGGCCGGGGCCCGTGTTCACGTTCATCAGCTCCGGGCTGGAAGGAACCACGAAACGTGCTCTCCCCACACACGACCCGTAGACGGGACTGCCGAATTCGGACGGCCGAGAAACGGCCGAGAAAGGGGGTGGTATGGTGCCAGGGGGGTCGACCTCTGGGGCGGCAGTCCGTCGCAGTCCCATGGGTCGTGGTCGTGTTTGAGTACTGGAATCCTCCAAAAACCACCCGAAAAAGACATGAAAGATGACCGTCCGGATGCTGGAGGAACTGCTGGAGGAGTAACTCAACGGTAAAAAACGTCTAAAAATGGGCGCCCTGGCCAGAAGCCAGGATCCCAGTGACACCCCTAGGCTCCAGTCGTACCGGACTCGTTTCGTTTCGGTGGGACTGGGGGCCCGGGTGCCAGGGTCCAGTCATACCTTTAGAGGATGTACGACTGGAGGTGTAGGGATTACAATGTGCCAGATCAATATGATCAATTGGTTTTTGAGATGCTTGAAGTAAAAAAACACGGCAGGGCACCCATCCTTTGAAAGGTGAAACCCCATTGCTTTTCCTGTAGATGTTCCAAAGTATGTTCCAAGCAATCCATTGATGGAGAGACCACCCCGGTTTTGGATCCTGGGACTTGTGCCACTCTTGAGAATCGGGTACAAAAAGACTGCCGACAGTTGCCCAAATCCCACCCAAGCGACGGAAAGCGGTTGGAACGCGAGCCGGGTCGAGACCGGAACTGTGCGAGCCAAAGCCTCCGACAGACGTAACACGAAGAAGTTCACAGATGCCCACATCACCTGTTCTTCCAAGAGAGGTTAAGTCACCTTATAGGGCCGTAACCTGGGGTACCGGACTGGGATAGTCTTTTTGGGGTTCAAGCTCCGTTGGTTTGCAAACAGTTGAAACCATTCATCCAAATGAGATCCATTGAAAAAGACATCGCGACTCAAGACCATCACCGATGACCGAGTCCAGTTCACGCCTGCTCAACCACCTGACCACGACTCAACAAAAACCGCACCGCGTGGCACACCAAGCCAGAACGCGCCTGGCGCACGCACCAAAAACGCACCTCACGCACCAAACCTCGCGCGATCTCGCGCACCTCACGCACCAATCGGAGCCATGGGACGCTTCGCTCTGAGTACCTGGAACGTGTGGGGCGTTCCCTTCGCCTCGCCCTTGATCTTCCACCGCGCCGGCCGCTGGCGCCAGTTCCACGACCAGGAGCGGAGACCGGGTGGAGACCGGGAGAGCTGACGAAAGAAGCATGGCCATACCGTATATACGATTCCCACCACCTTTTGAAGAGTTCAACAGGCTTTACCGAACAATCGGCTGTTTTACTAAGGATTTTACACTGCAACACCAGGTCAACCTTTTTTTTGAACGGTCTCGGAAGCCTAGTGTAAGTGTAAGGTGTTGCAAGGGTTTTTTGCCTTCTGCAAGTTTCGATCTAAGTGCATCAAGGGGATGAGATGGAAGAGAAACTGTTTGGACGCTTAACATCCAGTTGACCACAGATGTGTGATGATTTGTGACTTGCCGCAGGATTGGTGACTTGCATATAAGCACTTGCAAGGGGCTACTGGGCTACTGATGGACCAATGTGCTCGATGCGATAGTCCGATAGGGGCCCTCCAAGACGAAAACCATATACCAGGAGTCACAAAGGCCAACGTGCTGGAGACAGTTCTGCACTTAGGCCAGCTCTAGTTCAAGCAGACCTCAGTGGCATGATGCTTTCCATGAGGCATGGGGTAGTGTTTAGTCCGTGAGTGGATGTTCTGGGCACCCCTAACCTCCGTTAAGCACCCCATATTGTGACTGCTGGTATACTGTACTCGTGATTACTGGTGGCTCCAGGTTGAACTCACTCCTTCAGGAGTCCGGGTGGAACGTGACGGCACCAGGAGATGTTGAGGCTGCTGAGCATGTCTCATGCAAAGCCGGGAGCGCATTCCCGGCGACCCGATGCGGAGGACCACCAAGTCCAGGAAGGATCTTGCGGATGAAGATGATGGGATGTATATGGATGTGCATCAAAATAGGGAGTCCCCCAACCAATGGACCAACGCCAATTTTCCTTCTCTCAGGGCATTTGTGGGAGGTCTTGAGGTCTTACTGTTTTTGATACACAGTTACACACCCATATGGATGTATCAACAAATCAACCCTTAAAGATCTTTCAAACATGTTCAAACATTGCACTTGGGCCAAGCACAAGAGCAGCTGGGCAAGTTTGCGCGGATGTTGATTGATAGGGTTGTGCGAGCATCATGCAATACAGAACGTATTTTCTGTGGACGTTTGCCACCATGCGACATGTTCGCCATACGGTCCCATAACACAGCCACACATGGACAAATTGTAGGGCACTTCAGTGCAGTTCGTTGAGTACTTCCGCGCAGTTCACCGAGATTTTCCTTCCTTCCCGGGGCCCCGGTGGATGGTAGAGGCCAACATCATTGGTTTACCCACGAGTGGTGCCACTTGGGTATGTCCTAACCTCCCAGAGCCCAGTGGATGATGGGGCCGCAAGCAGGCTTGCGCAAGCAGGCCTTGTTTTAAAATAGTGTATAATAGTGATATTTGATGATCCCTAGGGCTCCAACTATATATCCTCAGGTTCGGTGGCTAGACCCCCCTGGCACCTACCCGTGTCCCACCATCGAAACGGAGGTGGGCCAGGAGCCCTAGGGGATAATTGTGTACGGACTGAATCTTACAGGAAATGGGACACCCCCAAAGACCCAAACGAGACAACCGGATCCACCTGAGCCACCCGATGATTCGAGCTCCACAGAGCTGTTCCTCCAGGAGCTTGGCAAGGTAGATCCAGAGGACCTTCTGATTCTCCTCCAAGATGGCAGAGCTTTCTTAGTGGCTCCAGAGGGACAAATTGATCTCAGGAGGGCCATTTGGCACCTCAAGAGGTCTTAGACAGATGGAGGTTCACTACGAAACCTACCAAACTTGGGGCCCCAGACGTGCCATCTGACTGATCTACGCACCAAACCCGCGACACGAAGGCGGAGGCCCTCGAGGGCGTGGTCGAATTTTAGAAGAACTCGTGGAACTGGTACTGCCCTCGAGGGTTTGCTCTCTCTTTTTTCTGGAGGATGTTTATGGATGTCTCGCAGTTGAGCCAGTCCAGTGGTGCTGTAGAAGATGTGACGACCTAAGGATTTGCTGCTTTCAAGAAGTATGGAGCTGGCACAAGGGACCCTTGATGGACTGCACTGCCCGATTGGATCCGAGCAAGGTGTGCTTCGGGCACACTAGATGCACTACTCTTCCATGGCTAATCACGAAAGGTAGCCCTTTAGGGGATACCTTGAGTTTGTCTTGCGAAGCAAGTGTTGGGACGTCCGGGTCTAATAATTGATCGCTCAATTCAGACCCCCCCCC